AATGAAACAAGTAGCTACGTCTGGTACTTTCGGAACACATGCCTGAGCACTGTAAATGCCCTCTGCGTCGGACTGCTGTGCCCACATGCAGGTACGGGGAAAGTCTAGAAATACTTTGAGCAAATGGGAAGTCTTGCTGAGATTCAGCTGTACATGACGGTTGGGAAATCTGCCTTTGCATCACACGAGGATTTGCGTCTGTGAACATTGGGCCATCAAAGCACCCATGTCAGCATGTCAGAAGGACGCAAAACGTGGAATCAAATCGTCAGCGCTCAAGATCACGCGTGCAGTCGCTGTGACCTCTGCTGACAGATGGCTGGGCGTCCATGCTGACCTGACACGGCTGCGTCAAGCTTCGCAGCAATGCTGTTCCCGTGCTTCAGACAGCCTGGCCTCGACTGCCACGGCGGTGGCGAAGACCGCAGCGCCACTGGCAGGTGCATGTGTTCAAACATGCTCAAAATCTGGGAGATGTCTACCCAATGCCTGGCAATGGTTCCTCGAAGCCTTGGGTGATTCCCTTTGCATGTCAGTGCAGTTTCAATACGGCCCATACAGCAAAAGGAATGTGTAAGTGACAACATATTGTGAGCTGTCAGAACATCACCTCAAGTCCTGCAAGTCTGGGCCAACCTCTTCGCTGTAACCTCCAAGCGCGCAGGCAAAGGCACCTCACGTGCGTTGTCCGCCAGATTTGCCATCTTGCGTGCTCTGAAATCTCCCTAATGCCAGCTGTACTTCTGAACTTTTTGCCTCAAAACCTCAAGAACGTACCCCGCACGATTGGACAGGTCTTTTAGAACTCTGGCTTTGACCAAAAGACTCTGCCCTGCTCTATCTGCAGCCACGAGGCAGCAAAAGTCGATCAGCGCTCGCCCAGGCCTTCCCCACTGTCAGGTTGACTTGGTCAAGCTAGTGGACTGTCAGCATGTGTCCCACATATCCAGCAATGCCTGATTCGGCACTCCAGCGCTCGAACTCGAGTTAGAGGAGATCACAAGGGCTGTGCTGACACTCTGCACCAGGGCAGTGTGTTCTGAAACATACTGCAACAAAAAATTGTTGGGCATCAGTCTCCCAGCTGAAATGTCAACTGTCAGCTTTTCAGCTGGGACTTACCCCCGAAAGTAAGCAAGTCGCCAATCTACCCATCAAAGTTCTCAACCTGCGCACTGCACCTCGGCAGCCAGCTGATCACCGAGCTCCCTGAAGGGCATGGAAAGACTATCGAGAGCGCGCACCATGCTACCGCAGCTGGGCACATTCAGGCTTTTTTGCCATTGACAACTCAAGGACTGTCGAACTAAACGAGGCGTAAGGCAGGCAACGCTACTAATCTTTTGTAAGCAAGGCCTGGCATTTTCTGATCGAACTTTGAGCTCTGCCGGGCTCACCTTCGCAGGATTTGACTTCGAGAGGGTAGTGCCCAAATTAGCGTGAGGGTCCCCAGTTGTGTGAAGTTCCGTGACCCAAAATATGTATTTGGGGAGGCAGGCTGAAAGCAATCTTATTTTAGGTTTGACCTGGCCAGCTTGCCAAACGGGATTTCAACCTTGAGGTCCAGTGCGAAGCTCTCGATTTCTTATTTCACTGCGTTTTGAGGCCACTGAAACAGGGTGTTTTCGCAGCCGGCCTCAGCCATCTAAAGGATTTTGGGATGCTGATTGATCCAAAGGTTTCAGCGCTGCTTGGGGCATCCACAGCTCTACCATTAAATTGGATTCAAAACAGTTACTGCAGTACTTATCTCCGCACATTGAGACCAAGTTAAAACACCTACTGAGCTCCACAACTCTCCTCGTCATGTTGATTGTATTTTAATTTTGAGCCTTTGACCGCGAATCCTCAGGATCCGGATGTATTCAAGCAGCAGCCTATTTGCTTTGTACGGGGTCTGCTACGCTAATCGGGCTCCAACATTGATTCAAGGATCACTGCTCAACGCGTGAGGACCAAAGCAAAAACTTCAACCAAAAATGGTCTCGAAAGTTTCACACATGCCTTATGGCAGGCAGGGGGATTCAAATGGCGCTCCTCGTCCACTTTGAGCACTTCATGAGTTGCTGTTTTATCTGCCTGTTGTTAGAAAATGAACGCAAGTGGGCATCACAAAATCACCCAGGATTATGCTGCGAACGTGTAGCCTGTGTCCAGAACATGCTAGTTTCGAGGCCACAAATCCAAACGCGGGGCCTCTGACAGTGCCTCACTGACCTGTACTACTGACTGTCAAAACTTTTGCATAGAAAAGCTGCGCAAACCTGACCACCGATCCCACGACCAAATTCATGAACACCTGCTGTACCTCGTCTTAACTCCTATGTCTGTAAGTTGAACTTACCAGTTGATCAGCTTCCATGACAGCCTTTCGGAAGTCTTTTGTGTTTAGCTTCTTTTGGATGACCAAAACCGGAAACAACTTTGTCATGCCAAAGTAGTCATGGGACAATTTCAAGACTTCGGCGCAGCTGAATGATCCAACACGCTGCAAATTACGAATCATCCAATAATCTTCTGATCAAATCGCTCGTAAAGAAGCCCCTTCCAAAGCTATCAACCTGCAAGCCCTGGAAGAACAACTGGTACACACTAATCTAAGCGACTAAGCACTGTCGTACTCATGCCGCCTCAGTGGATCGTCACTGAGACTGCAACCGGGAATGCTGAGATGTTCCGCGGCGTTGGTGGTCCGCTCCCTGTTGATGACATGGCTGAAAGAGGGCTTGATTCTCGTTTAGCTGGGGGGGCTTGGAGAAAAACGCAACAACGTGCTTGAGACAAGAGGTAGTCCTGTGGACAAGGTGTCCCTGCTTGGCACGTCGAAAAATGATCGGACTGCAGACTTGCCTCAACTTTGCATGATCGATGGCATACGTGAAGGATATGGCATGCTCCTGTTTAGAATCGTATCTTCAGTCAAACGCATTTTCGCATTCTTTCGCGGGCCTCGGCTGTGCGGAGATGTCACAGGTGCCAAGCAGGCCAAGGGCATCTGGCCTGTCGGCCGAAAATCCATGGGGACACGTAGCTTTTCCGGAGCTCGTGAGTCTTCTGGTCTTTCAGCTCCACCTGAAACTACTACTGTTGTCCAAAGGCACATTCGAGCGGCTGGAAAGACGAATTCCGCCTGGGATGTCAGGTAGCAAGTCCACCGACCTGAAACGCGTCAATCTTTGGTGGCTGTGCAATTGTGGGCGCTCTGAGGTCTAGGTACACGCTGTCCTAAGGTGGATTCAAGGGACCGGCTTCTGATTTCTTCATGCAGGCCCCTCATAAAAACGGGTAGTACGTGACACGCCAGCAGAGTAGAGGGACCATGATCCCGTGCAAAAGCACCCCTGACTTCCGCGACCTTGAGCCCAGCACCAAAGCCGCTACCCCAAAGCCGGTGACCCTACAGGAGCCACGTAAATAAGAAAAGGATTCTGTAGGACTTCATCATATTGGCGTGAGGCCTAACAAAACTGGGTTTACCCAAAGATCAGGATAAATGCGGATCATTACTTACTGAAGCCTCCACCTGTTGCTAACTAAATCGTGCGCAGCCAACAGCCTGACAGCATGCGGGCTGGAGATTGCCCGATTAACACGGGGAGCAGGGCCAATTACTTGTTTTTTCCCCACCTATCCTGCCGCTGCGTGGTCTCAAAGTGGACTTCAACAACCTTTGCATTATCCATATCTTGGAACTCGTGCTACCAAAACCAGCACTGTTTCTGCTTCATCATATCCGTTCGTTCAACCCAGACCAACAATATATCTGACATCTGTTAAATTTCAAACTGGCCCTTTGGTGAATTGTCTGGGGTCGCCGCATGCAGACGACATCTTGTGCTAAAAGTGGCTAAGAAAGCTGTTTCAGATTCAACTGCCACCAGTGTGTTGGGGGGTGGGGCTGAAGGTCAAACATGGCGAGCGGCAAACAAAACAGCCGACTGAGGGTACAACGGTACTGGTTATGCTAGTGTTGGCAGCATGGAATGACTATGCGACTGGCTTTTAGGGTCTCCGATTGTGTGCATCCAGCTCAAAACATTTTCCAAGTGAACCTTCACTGACACAGATTTTCGACACAACATGTCTTCGGATATGTTGGTTGTCCCGATGTTTCATGTGCCACCTCTGTCACTGCGGTACTGGATCTAACTTCCAGCCTCTTGCTTCGTTATGCTTGAATAAGCAAGGAAGCCAAATGGCTGCAACAGAACTATTAGGGAAGCGCGTCCTGCGGCACGCAAAGAAATTTCATGATGACAGTGCTAATGCACATAATTCTGCCAAAGCAACCGCAGTCTTCTCTGGAATGCTGCCCTGACATAACTACAAATCATTTTCTGAAATCGAAGCCGCTTGCAGCATCCAGGACTCTAGCCAGTAATCCGCTGTAAGGATGATGCGCAAAATGGATTTTCCTCATGATGATATTGCTACTAATAAGCACGATCAACCAACAAGGGCAAATGCAGCATGTATGATAGCAACACTGTCAACGGATGTACCAGTAATCATCACATTTTTCCTGAACTGTAAGTACGGGCGTGGTTTCTGGTCGTCAGCATTGTGACCTGTACGGGTATCATTGTGGAAATGATTGGATAAAAATTAGTCCCAGTTGGAAATTATTCGAAAGCGACTGATCCGTGACTGATGGTACTCGTACTCTCTCTTTTCGAAGAACCAACTGCAGCCAGCGAAGCAATTGAATATCAACTTCGGCAGCAGGACGAGACTTGCAGTGGCATCGTTTTGGCGCATTGGTAGCCATACTGCACGTTACAATATATATGGCAAGTATGTACGCAACAAAAAATAGCAGCATTGATGCTGACATATATTGACCGCATAGGAGGTGAGCATGGCATGAGGCTGAGTTTGACAAATTTGACGTGAACAAATGAGTCTCTGTCGACAGCAAAGCGGCTATTGCTTTTTTTTGCCTGAAACCAACGTGAGAATGTGAAACGCACAGCTGACTAGGTTTCCTATGTCAGCTAATGTCAGCTGCTGGTGAGTGCCTCATATAAATTCCGCAACGCGCTAGACCTTGGCCACGTTCTAACACACTCCCAACACAGCACAAGATTGCAGCCACTACGTTGCAGGTGCGTGGCATGCCCACGGTGAACATACCTTGCAAGATGTGCATCACATGTGAAAAAAGCCGATAGCCACGAGTCGTCTGACCAAGGTTCTCAGCTGGTGATGCGACATTTTTCCGTCTTGAAACCCCCTTGTGAGACTGACCGTTTTCCCAAGTGTTTCCAGCAAGAAGATATCGTGGACAGCCGAGAGGCACAGGCCAAGGAGGCCAAGCATCGCCTCTGCGGCGCCAAAAGCAACAATGCCCTGCCGGCTGAGGCCGAAAGTCACGGCCACTGGCACCTCGTGTTCCAGGTCTTCACGCTTTCAGTGATCATGGCGGAAGCGCTGAGGGAATAACATGGACATTTCAAGAATTGCAAACTGCGTGCTGCGAGGCGCCGAGTTTACATGTTTGTTCCTAATGTGCATGATTGTCTGGTCTTACGGGTTGAAAGTACCAGTAAGCCACAAGAGGGGCAGGCGCGTGAAAGGGTCTGGGCATTGCAGGTCTTTCGTACTTGGGCAGATCTGCTTCGGCTTCACAACCAGCTCACTGCTTCAAAGCTCAGGCCACGGCAAAGACTTGCAGAATCGTTAACAAGCCGGTTGAAATCACCTGCCGAAGGCATCATTTGCAAACAACTTGCCTTCAAAGTTCTCCTTGGCTCATCTTGGCTATGGGGTCGGCCAGACGTGTGCAGGCCATGCACCGCCAGAATGCAAACTTGTCGCGAGTTATCGTGGCCACCTCTCTACTCTTCAAGCTTTTCTGAGGCCAAGCCCATCAACCTTAGGATGCCTAGTTCGCACCAGGACCCTATGACCGTGCAGGCACAAATCTCTCAGTTGAACTCCGCATCTCTGCAGCGCGAGCCCGCGGCTCAGCAGAGGTCGTATGCTCCGCACACTCTGGCTGCAAAAGCTGCAATGGTGTCAAAACATTCAGGCAAGGGGCAGCAAGGATTTCAGTGAAGTACGGCATGAACAAGGCAAGCAGCAATGCACCCATCCTGCATTTGGGGTGTGCATTCAAATGACGACTGCAAGGGCATCCGCAATGGCTTGGATTAGCTATACAAAGGAAAGCCACTTCTGCACACAAAATGGGCCGACCGGCCCTCCTACACGGCTGCAGTTCACATGACTTCGCTGCTGACGCAAGGTCTGGTAAATCATGTGCTAACGCCACCTCATGCCCAAAGCATGGTTGCGAATGAGTCGCACGGCAACAACGCGCACGCTGCCGTTGATGATGGAGTTGGACAGGAGATGGGAGTGCTCGGCTTCGAGGACTCGGAAAACACAATACCTCATGAGCAACCAATGACTGAAGCAGCTTCAAATGCAAAGGGTTGATGGGTGCTTGTGCGAGGCCGGCCATAAGCAAATTGCTCCACGCAGCAAGCATTTGTGCACCAAAAAAGGAAGGATTCAGGATTGGGAACCTTGCTTGCCATGCTTAGAGGTCTACAATGGTCTACAATATCCCTGCCAAAACATATTGTTCCCTAGCTTGCTTTTGCTTCGCAAGGGCTTCCCCCGACGAACGGCCTGCAGTTGGCTGAGATTTGTGCGGAAAAGCCCGCATCAGCTGGAGCATGAACTAATGAGGTTATCAATCTGTCTTGTGTGTCACCCATGAAGCACATTTGACCAATTGAGCTCGCTGTCTCCTACAAGGCAGATTTCTGGACGGAACAACCTCCAGCGCTCAACAGTGTCCAAGTCGGGGACGATTGCCTTCTGAGATTTTTTGCTGGAGTCAGCCAAAAAAAGGGTCCAGGCTCGCTTGGATGTAAATTTGCGGGGGGGCCTTCATAAGGCAAATCCGACTCGAGGGCGTAAGGTTTCCGGAGCGCTTCCACACAATTATCGAAGGCCATGCGGCCTCAAACAATGCAAAATTACAGCTATGAAACACCCCAACCTCAAACGGCACGTGCCAACCAGCAGCAATACGACGGGAGCCGTCACCATCAAGTTGGACACGACAGCGCATGCCAGAAGGTATCCTCAGACTTAGACTCTGTAGCAACATGCATGTAGTTCGCTGTAATCCAGTCGGCACAATATCCCCTGCATCTCCCAACTTGAGCAACATACTAGGGCCATCAGTTGTTCAAGGACGGCTGCGCAAAGCTGATTCCACAGTAGGAGTCGCAGTCCAAAAAACAATCGGGGCTGGTGCTATGAACAGCAGGCCACACTTGCTGCCTGCTCTTTTGCCGCCAAACTGCCGAGAATCCACCTTTCAGAAGGGCTGGTGCTGCCATGACCAATCGTGCTGGCACAAGAAATCTATGGAATGCTTGCAACCCATTCAACCACACCTCCAGTGTAGAATCACACCAATTACACAAAAAGGCTGATTCATGATGTTGCGGCCCTCAAGCATCGAGCAGAACTGCGGCACGTTCTTCTTCTGCGTCAAACATGCAATGCCCAGGATCCTGAATCCCAACCTGACGTCTTGATGCTCCCAAGTTACTTCTGACCAGGAGTTTCTGATTCCGCAACGTTGCCGGGGCAACCAGGCCGCTCACACATGGAAAGCCTCAGGCTGCAAAGTTGTCCTTCAAGTAGTTAGCCACCAAGTCTTAGTTGCTGTTGACAGGTTTCACTTAGATCTGGGCGCTTCTTTACCTGGTGGTGGGAGGTGGTGGGTTTGCGTCCTAGTGGCTTGACTCGCATCCCCCGAGCCTCACAACAATTAGCTTCGTTCTGACAGTACTGGACGCATTGCTCAAATTGTTCGCCGCTGGAGGGTCAGTCCAAAAGGTTCCAAAAGTGGGTCTTCAGGATTCTTAGACAAGCATACCAAGAACCTCTCCCACTTCCAAGCTCCCAGTAGTGTCAGTAGTGCAAGCGATGCAAACCTTTGTAGCTGATACTACATGAAATCGTGCCAACAAGTTGTTTGCCAGTATCATATCTACCATGTAGGCGGGGCCCATTGACTCCAGCTTGTCTGCTCACGTCCTCCCCATGCCATTTTCTGTATGCATTCACATGCACATTTGATGCCTCACGGTGAAAGGCATACTGTCATGCAAGGAACGCTCTCTTGACGTCTGAAAGCTTGCTACATGTGGGCCTTGACAACGATAATTTGGCTACAATGTAGGATTTGCCCTTTGAGGCTGGTGCAAAATGTTGCCAGCAACATCTTCGCCCCAACCAAGAAACGCAACCTGAGGTCGTTCATGCTGAGGATAAATCACGATGCTTTGTATGTCCATCATGCAGCAACACGAAATGGAAGGATAGTGGCTGAGCCCAGTCCAACGTAGATGGAGATGACCGCCAGGAATGATCTCGGTTGACATTTGCGGAGTGAAACTCGGTTGGCTAGCTCCGACATGTCAAATTGTTTCATCTCAGGCAAAATGCATCTTCAAAGCCCACCGCAACTGTTCTGGCTCCTGCATGGTCATCATTTGGCATCAAGACCTTGTCTCAAAACCGAATGTAGTGAAGCGGCGCTCCTTCATATCATGCTTCATGACTGGCAACACATCTGCCGGAGAGTATGCGTAGACCATGACGGCCTCAGATTCGGCATGCATTTGTGAAAGGATCCACTGTCTTGCGAAATCCAAGCTTCAAACAAAATCAGCCAAGATGTCACTGTAGGTTTCCGGCCACCTCACCAACTGTGCCACCACAAACATGCATTAGTGTCCCAACTGAGAACCGTCCCTCTGATACTAAGGCGTTTGATTCAAATGCAACCGCTCCTCGCCGTCCCATGTTCACCGGGATGCGTTGCAGCTTCAAACCCTGCCAGAGAGGGGTTTGACGCTTGCGATTTTTGTGGCCGACCCGCCCCCCCCCCCCCACCCACAGCTGCTTCTCTGCAAGCGACAAGCACTATATCGATAAACATACGGCATGTCAACATGCTTTTGCATTTTCGCTCATGAGCGTGAAGCCCAGCAGCGCCTCCAGCAGTGATGGTGAAAAGGTAACATACGGATGCAAGGACACCTTGGTTCCGCTTATGCAAAGCAAAATCATGACTGGCACATGCAATGCCCTCTCCAGGGAATCATGTGAATTCGGCAGCCATGAACAATTCCTTATCAACTGCAACCTGAGAGGCCAATGATCGACCTCAGCTGCTGCATACCGTGTGCAGATCGGCAAAGTCCACAAGCAGCGAAGTTCCCAGCCCTGCGCCATCTGGATATGACCGTGATATCCCGCACAAAGATCAAGCGCATACAAAGAACGGCACCTTTGCAGGCAGGAGCTCCCCCTGGCAAAGAATATCACAAAGGATCTGGACATCTGGACCCTGAAAAGCCTGTCACTGCCCACACGCGCTGCGAGACCCAGCCAGCAATGTAGTTCAGGTTGGTTCCAATGACGACGAAGTAAACACCACACTTGCCTCAAAGCATTTAAATTTGAAGGCAACCCAGAATTGGACAGCGGAAAGCAAACGTTGCAAGGGTTATCCTAAAATCGAGCCTTGGTATCTTGGACGAGCTTGGGTATTGCGGGTGCTGTGTAGCAAAGAGAGGGGAGAGTCCGGCAAAGCTTGAGATTCAGGCATCTAGGATCAAAACCCAAAGATTACCGAAGGGTGCAGTAACGGGTGGCGCAGTATACAGTTTGGGTCCTCATCTCAGCAATCGATATAAATCGTGATTTGGGCTTTAGGGATATATGAGAGTACTATGTATATATATATATACACACACACAAACTTGGAACCCTGAGGGGAAAAGGTACAGGTTAGCAGTACAAATGAACGCAACGTCCCAAAGCAGGGGGTGGCTGTCCCGTCTGCTATTTTGCTGTAATTTGAGGGCGCCATCCAGAAATAGAAGCAACACAAAGAAGCTGAAGTAGCTCCTACATCAGCAGGGTGGAGAGGGATCCGTACAACAGGTACCACCAAGAGAAGCGATGCGAATGCCGTTCGAGATCTAGACGGAGCGGAGGGACCTCCTGGTATGCTCTTCACCCACCAAGTAATCTGCTTTCTCTTGGAGTGAAACAGTCTCAAATCACTTACTTGAAGCAATGCCACAGAATGCTCAAAGTCTTGCACACGCAAAGACTCTTGGAAGGAGAATCGATTTGTGAACCCCATCATGCTCAAGCCGGAGGATAGCGGCTGATCTGGAAGATGCCCGTGAGAATCAATACCTGGGCTTCGGGGCGGCTGCAGCTCTACACGTCCTAAAAAACCTCCAGGCACAAAGAAATCCTGTCCTTCGAAATTATTTAAGGCTTTGAGCTTAAAGGAACTATGCTTCGACTCGTCTACCATCTAATTAGAGACATGTCAATCGATGGGCTTGCGTGCGAGGCGTTTGATCGAGAAGTCAGCATAATACCGGGTCATCCTGCCTTGCCAACAGTCACCAACACCGAAGGCAAACGTTTGCGGAGCGCTTTCTTAGGCTGTCCTTACCAAGCTTCAGCCACGCAACATCAGGCCTCATCCGCAGATTCAATAGCCGTTAAGCGCAGAGCCTACGATGTAATCAGGACAAGCCACGGCGCGCCGTCCCACTTGACCGAAGCACTCCTGCAAGCAAAGCAAGTACGTAGTCAGGCAGGAAGTTGACATGTAAGCATCGTCAACAGCAATTGTGCAATCCAGAGAAAAGTGTACACTGCACCGCTGCTGCATGGTGACCTTCTTCTGCAGTGCACACAGCATGCTTGAGACGTTATCTTGAAGTGTGTTCATGCAGCGTTTCGCAAATGCCATGGTACCCGGTACAATTAGGGAAGAACTTACTCTCCAGGATCTGCAGAATGCTTGGCAGCCTGCACAGAAATCGTTAGGAGTCTGGATTGCAACAAGCTTTGAAAGCGCAGGAGTCTCCTGCACAACATCCCCTTAGCTGCCAAGACATCATAAGTTCTTGGAGCAAGCAGAATCACTCCAATGTTCAATGCACTCACTCTTACTGTGTACGTGCAACGCAAACGAATCCCAAATCTTGCCAGTCGCTCTACACGGACAGAAGTGACAAATCCAACTGCAAGAACCACAAAGCTTTGTGCATTGCGAGCGGCCAATGTTTCTGGGATGTTGGCCATGTGCTATGGCCATGGCCTCAAGAGCTCGGTCGACCTTGCAGCTGCAGGCCAAGGGATTTAGCACCAAATGCCGTTAAGTGTTCGGGCTGACCACTAGTTTCAAATGCACGGCGTCGGAAATATGAGAGGGCCAACTCAACTGCTGCAAGAAGCAGCCAATTCATTGAAGTCTGCCAGAATACTCCATGACAGCTGCAGGCTTGCATCTCCTTCTCCATATGGGGCCCCATATAACTTCTTCCCTCTCGGCATGTGATTAGCGCTCTACAACTCGATGCGTACTTCAGAACGTGGGCCTGGAAGCTTAGCTTGCGCTGAGGTTTTTGAGCAACGGACTTTGACTGAGGCTGCTGCAAGAATGCAGGCACGAAATGAGACAGCGCCTGCGAAGACAACCATCGTCGGACCAAGCACCTGCATATTTGCAGGAACTCCACGCCATCAACGTTGCTGCTTCTTTGGCTCTTTTTGAGGCCTGTGGGCACACTATGTAGGCATGCTCTGCTTAGACTGTCGCAGAAGAAAACAAGACCTCTTTGACCTGCGCATGGTCGAAACCAGAATCAATCTTGCTTTCAACTACGTTACTGAGACTGCTTTGCAAGAGCGTGTCTTGCTCCCATTGACAGTGGCCTTCACAAGCCATCCCTGACGCAGTTGAGAAATTGTGCATGTGGCCACTTTATCAAGGCCCGCGCCCAGCCGTTGTTGGCCACCATGCGAGGAAGGCTCAGCACGCTTGCGCCCACCATACAGGTTCTTAGCAATCATGCACTGGAATATCATGGAACATTTTTGACTTGAAAACTGACATATTAGTTGAATTTCTCCCATAGGGCATGCTGATGCAATGCTTGGTTGGGTTGATTTTGTGTGGTCGACCTGCTTGCAGTCCGGAGATGTTGGGAGCTTGCGCATGTGTAGGAATGAAGGGGCCTGCTACCGGATGGCACAAGAAGGCCTCACACCCCTGCCTCTGCAACCTCCAGCTGGGTCTGGCGCGCTGATTATGTTATCTGAGGCTCAAGCCTTGAATCCTCAACCTGAAGCAGATGACACTAGACTCCCTAGAAAAAGGCTGATTGTCACGCACCCCAGGGTCCTGGGGGAGGCCCCGGCTACAAAGCGCATGGCATGTAGCATACCTCCAAATAGCCTGACCCTCAGGTCTGTCTGCATCTGAACTAGATGTCAGGTCTGCTGGCAAGAATGCCAGTGCCCAAGCACGTTGCGCGGGCTGCGCCGCTCAGTCTCTCGTTCCAAGGCTTGCTAAAATGGATGCCTTTGAACGTGGTACCGAATCTCGAGTTCAACATCTGCAGCTCGTCCGCGCCCTTTCTGGACAAAAGACGCCACGAGCGAGTGTCTACACTATCTGTCAGTTGGCTGCGGATTAAAAGCGTGTTTTGTCGCGTGCTCCGGCCATCATTTGTTACATAAGCCCTTTGTCGCTGCCGGTTGTTACATACATTTGTCGTAAGTGCTTGGGAAGGGCATCCCCCTTGTCGCAGGTCAAGAAATTCTGCTACAAGCATGTAGCCTGTTACAAACCCATTCTTTTTGACTCACAGCCAGAGAATTTCTGTTGAATAATTAAGTGGAAATCCTACTTTCCTGCAAGTCTGATCTGGTAATTTTCAAGCCTGAGGTTAAGAATACTAACAAATCAAACTATTTACCACCTCTACTGCAAGTGAATTCAAGATGCCCGGGAGTGGTTAATAGCAGAGGCAGGGGATGTCTTAAAGCCGACTTCAGGCCGATCCACTAATGCCAGCAAGACACATGAGATTCGTGGCTGCATCCCTGCTGGTCATCTTGGCATGGTCCTTCAATTCTTTGCCACGAATAACCTGGTCCAACAGTCCAGATGTGCATGCTTCCTGAGGGCTTGCAGGAGAACTTTCAAATCATGACTCAGCTAGCCCCCCAACTGCTACAAAACATGAAAAGCCGACAATGAGAGGCTTTGCCAGCTTCTGATACAACTGGAACCCCTCCCGCGTGGTCCTCCTGGGCATGATGGGAAGCTTGAACTTTGCCACGGGATGCCTGGTTACATAGAATCGCAGGATGACAGTGGCCTTTGGGCACTCAAGTTCAGGGCCTCCGGTGGGGCAGCATAGATTTCATGCTCGTGCAAACTTCATTGTTGTGCTCGAGGCTTCCCCTTTATTGTCACGCCTATTGCTGTACTTTACCATGCTCTGCTGTGGCTAGTTTTTTTTCCTTCGAAGTCTTTGATTGCCAACTGGGAGTTAAAGGAATTGCGTGACGGTCTTTCAGATTGCTATGACGCTTGATGGTCAAAAGTTGATGCTAGGTTGCTGGCTCACATCTTCCAACCCCAACTCTGAGAGCATGCAAAACTTGCCTCACTTTGCCAGGTTCAGACATGCATCAATCCGCCTGCCTCCTCGAGCAAATGATCTTCTTCCCGCTCTCCCTCACCTGAACGCTTTTGCGACTGCAACAGCTCTGGCCCGGCCGTTTGGCTCGTTGTGCAACGTATGCTGCAGTGTCTGAGCACAGCCTTTTTAGTCTTCTTCCAGGTTCTGTCCGGCCCTGTTGCAGGTGCGTCCATGGGCTTTACCTCTTCGAGCCCCACAGCCCCTACAATTAAGACCATCATGCAGCAAGAGCCAGTAATGGTTTTCCGTCAAACTTCCCTGATTTTGAACCTCCTGCAAAAAAAATGAAAAAAGAAAGAAAAACACACACACACACACGATGTACTTCGAGCATCCCCGCCCTAAAGCCGTTATTGCACAAGATGTCTGCCTGCCCCCGCCCCACCCGGATGCCCCCCCCGCCCCCCACCCAGACTGTCTTCCTTGCAGCATTGCAAAGGCACTGCAAGAACAGTTTGGCACCGCAGGGCCGATTAAATGCAGCGGGGTTCGGCATTGCAAGGGCTGGGCACGACAAGGACGCTTTGCCATTGAGCGCTGCAGAGATACTGTGGGCTTGAGCACTGCAGGGATACTCTGCTGTTGGGTGCTACAGGAATACTCTGCCGTTGCTGTTGGTCTTTGCAGGGATACTGTGCTGTTATTGGGCACTGCAGGGATACTTGGTGGTTGGGTATATTTGGTGGTTGGGCACTGCAGGGATACTCTGCGGTTGGGCTCTGCAGGGATACTCTGCGGTTGGACACTGCAGGGACACGTTGCCATTGAGCACTGCAGTCAGGCTCTGCGCCGAGGGCGAGGACAACATAGACTTTTGAAATCTAACAACCTCAGGGTGTACTCGCCTTGACAAGGGCGGGGTAGAGCTACTCAGGTAGGTCAATAGTGCAGCCTTTGTAGAACAGGAGGCCCTGAGGTGAGGGTGGGGAAAACGTAAACTTATGGATTTCTAATGGCTTCCTCAATTTTCCATGATTTTGCGAGCTTCCAGAGCCAAAAATGTACGAAAACCATTGAACAACTAACGGAAAACATCAAATTTGCAGTACGTTTCATTGTTTTCCCTAGACTTCCCATGGTTTTGAACACAAAAAGCAGAAAATCCATAAATTCATGGAATTCTTTGCTGTTTCCTCGATGATTCTTGATTTCGCAAGCCGAACACCATTGAAAAGTACTGACAAACATCAAATGCTAGTGGTGTTTCCCTAGGTTTTCTTGAGCCTCCAGACATAAAGAATTCATTTAAATTATCCATAGGCTTCTGGATTGTTGTTGGTTCTTGAGGATTTTCATGGCTGTTTGAAAAAAACAACTTTGAAAATGCATTGAAATTGTAAGTGCATGTGTATTGAACGTGTATCAAAGGTGTAATGAAAGTGTAGTGCGCCGAGACACTGGGACATGAATGGTGTAGTAAAACGGTAAATGCAAAGCGCACTGAAACCATATAATCTAACAAGTCCAAATAATTCCTTGGCCCATTATCCTTTCATGCTTATCGGATGGTCCTACAGTTCCCTGCTCCAGGAAAGCAATTCCTGGAAGCGTCGGGCCGTCATCGGCATGATAGCATAATTTGCATATCATGTATAACGGGGCTGCAGCTACTCCAAACGCTGGTGAACCAAATTCATGCAAGCCAACCAACACGCAGGATCATCAGTGTTTCTTTTTCCCTTCTGTCCCTCATGTTTTGCAGCTGCTCAGCTGCTTCGACCTCGCCTTTCTGAAAAACGAATCAACAGCTCAGCCAGGGACTGCTGAATGTTCCGTCTTCCTTCGCACGGACCTTCACGAATTAAGTTCAGGCGGCCCAAACGTCATGTGCCGCATGCTTCCGCGATAAGAACAACCCGGCCTCTTCATGTCTAGGCTGCTTCCGCCGCGTCCAGTGGATGTTGCGGCCACTCTTCTCGGAAGGGACGGCATTCGAGGTGGAATCGGTCTGCAAGGCAACAGTGCCAGCTCAAGCACACTTACAGGCTCAGCATACCTCAGACATCCTCAAACATGGAAATTTTTCAGGGCTTGGCTTCGTCGCAACTCTGAAGCCAGCACGGGCACCAGCCTCACTGCCAGCACCATCAGATCCAAGGTCCTGCAAAGACTCGCAGGCAACCGCTGCAGTGTTTCAGAAGTTTGTGGTCTCTGCAAGGAAACGCCCTTCCAGAGCTTTCATCAACTTGGTCAAGGAGCTGGTATGAGCTGGTGGGACTTCGATTATGGCATAGCCCTTCATGATGTTTTCTAGAACAGCAATCTCGCATCAACACCACCCATGCTACCGACAAAGGATGACGAACGATGATCGATGAGAACAGGCTGAATATCCTTTGCAGCCAGCGCAGTGCCGGCGGGGGAACACACGGAACACGCACTGCGTTCCCGAGAACACCCTTATGTCTGCGCGAGCCATGACATACCCCAGGCATGAACGAACGCATGCTTTAGACACTTCATTAGTTTGAGGGCATAAAACCATATAAAACCCCACATGGTGCTCCAGACTCCTCATGGTTGCATTCAAGTCCAATCGTTTGAGGCAGGACCTGCAATTCTGATCAGGTGAGCTTGCACCATCCCACTTTCCTGCCCGCCCTAGCCTCAATGGAAACGGCAGCCATTGCACGCCGCCATGCGCTGGTCGAGGTCTGTCATTTGCAGGATACAGTAGCAGCTGTGCCGGGTTGCTGCAGCTGTTAGCATTGGGAAGGCCTGTGTCCTGGCTGGTACACTTATGTTTGCGTCGACCTGACTTGCTGCGCAGGAACTGCTCGTTTTGCGCTGCCAAGCAGGCTTCTCATCTGCATGTCTTGGGACAGACGTGTGTTCTCAATCTCGAGCCTCTGAGCCACAAACAATCCAATTGGGGACGCTGCCCTCGCAAAGCACACGTCGCGCGGCTGATAATCACTGCAAGCTGAACCTTACGTTAAACCCATTCACGCACATCACAAGGTTGGAACCTCGGCTGGCGCACTCACGCCCTCTCATTCAAATCACGCCGCATTATGGAAGGGCGCTGATGCAGATCATCTTTGGGCCGTGACCATGCAGTGTCGGCCCAACAAGTTCACTATGAGCATGAGATGATTTGAGCGTTTCGAGGTTTGGGGGTTGGGCATATACAAGCCTATGCTTGTCAATCATCTGCAGACAACAGTAACCAAATGCCTATTACTCTCAGTTTTCAATCTGCACCCCACCAAACAAGCTGAGACCGTTCTCGAAAGAACGTCTTGCAAGCACCGATTGGGCACCACAAGCCAGCTTCGAAACAACATCTACAGCAGCCGGGCAAAGCCACCCCTTGATGTAAAGATGTGCGTGGAACCCCATGAAAACTCAAGTCACCCAAGATTCTCTAACTTGGATGCAAACAGAGGCGCCTTTTCAATTGAGCCCAAGCGCGCTGCAGCGTGCCAGTACCTGTCAAAGTTGCACTCAGGTGCTACAGAAAAACTTCACTCCGCTTATGCTCTGTGTTCCTTAATGTCCAGATGACTGAGCACCAGTACCATACATGGCAGGAAACAAAGTCTCCTTAGGAGTACAGTAAGTACAGTCAGAGCACGGAGTGATCTCACGAACAGCAGAGTTCTGCTTGAACTGTTTACATCCACGCATAGCGTGCCAGCACTTGGAATATGTGGCCATGAAAATTGGCTTATTGCATGTACAGCTGGTGAAATGGTCTTGGATGCGACGCTTCAAGCTAGTCACTTCAGCTTCTCGGGCCTGCAGGAGTCCGTCTCGTTCACGAAGAAGACGATGAAGACGCTCAACGTCACTGTTGAGCTCGGCCACCTGATGACGAAGCTGCTGCTCTCTTGCCTCAGCTTCCGGATAGGAACGTCGTGGAGTGCGGTACTCCGCCTGGGTCGAAGATGTCGTCCTTGTCGGATGGTCGGTGTTAACTTCGGCATCGGCTCTTGACGTAGTTGACGAGGTAGTCGTGGTAGAGCTCGATGTCGTTGTGGTGGTCGGCGCAGCTGCACTTGCCGGAGAGGATCTTGTCCATAGCCAGGCTGCACAACCGCTGATGAACAGGACTCGCTCCATGAAAACGATGACCACGATTGTCACCAGAACCATCGTGAGCGGATCCCACGATGTTGACGAGGAGGACGAGAACTCGCCAGTGGTCACTTCCCTGGAAGCCTGAACGCGAGTGGTCAGGAAGGCCGCGAAGAGGAAGACCTTTGAGACACTTGTTCTCGAAGCCATTGCCAGAGCCATCATGCCCTTGATGATGTCATCGTCCGTGGTCAGGATGTCGTCCTCGTCCAACTCGTGCCGTACAGGTAGTCGACGGAAAAGTAGGTGGTGCCCTGGCTCGTTGTGGTAGGCCACTGTGCCGGTGGAAAGTAGTAGCATGAGAGGAGGTGCCACCATCGGTTTTGTGAGCGCGTCTGCGGTCATGCTTTGTGTCGGAACCAACACAAGCCAGCGTAGCCTGCCAAGAAGACGTGCCTCCTTATGAGCAAGGATATACAATCTCTGCCCTTTATCTTGTGGCAGACTCCGATCGCCTGTCGACAACTCATAAAAGTCTTTACAGTCGGTCAGGGAGTCAATCGGCAACTGGGGATGACCGTGTTCCTGAACCTTCGTAAGCTCAGCCAATGAAGGTTGGCTGCCCATCAGGAACATCTCACACAGACGCACCGAAACCAATGTCATGGTCTCGAGGCCGCCAATCGCTGCCAAGGTCTCGGCATGCGAGGTGCTGTATGAGACACGTTTTGCCTTAGCCCCATGCGACCAAAGAACGTGTGCTCGTCCGCCAAGAGCGTCGGCCAGTTGGTCATCGGCCTCGATCTTGTAGTGTTGGTCATCCATGTGGAGCTTATCCTCGCACAGCAAAACGAGGATGCCTTCTTGAGCATAATTGCGACCCTTGCTCGCTGAGCTTGCATCACGCACGCACATCAGTCTGATGTTGCCACTGAGCTTCCTGAAGAACAGGCCAAGGTGCAAACAATTGGGGTTCTTGGCCTTGAGTACAACCTTGTTGGCCATTTTCAGGTGCTCAATGCAAGCTTTAGTCACGCAGGACTGCAGCAAGGAAACATCCGCAATGAGATCTAGCCTGGTGGCTGTCAACCAGAGCAACCCGCCGAGAACCGAGCGAAAAGAGGTGAGCTCTTCCGGCGTCAGCGGATCAGAATCCTTGCGCTTCTCATTCACAGAAGCTTGGACAAGCTTTTCTGCAAAGTGTGTCTGCGACATTTTGTAGCCATCAGGTATACGCTCGTACCTGCAACTGCAGTGGTCGAACGGCATGAGCTGTCGCGACACGTCACCGAACTCGAGCTTTACCTTCTGGTAGTTCTCGTCCAGCCACTGTTGCTTCGCCGCAGAGAAGAGGTCATCGACATGTGTCGTCATGAGCGCCTTAAGCTTCTCCTCTGGCGGCGGTGTCTTCCAGATGAACAGGTTCTCGTCCATCACCGAGGGACAACCGCCAATGAGCTTCAGAAACTCACGCAAGCACAGTTGCCAAGCCAGAGGTGCATCATTCAAGCCATACACCGGCTTGTCAGTCTCCAGCCCATATGATCCGAAGTTGCCGTGGATCTCGAAAGAAGGATCTCGTGCTGCCAGATGTCGCCAGACATTCGGAGGAGGAATGATGATGACCTTCCGCACTGGAGACATGATGCCCTTGTTCCGCAGGAGCTTACGGACTTTCTCAAACGTCAACCCCTTGAGGAAGGCCCCAGAGATATCCCATGACTCTCCTTCAAACTCGTGATTCGCCGCCGTGGAAAGGACCGAACGCTGTGAGAGCCTGGTGGCTGTCGTTGACCGCGTGGTCAAGTGTTCTCGGTGAGGATCAAAACAGCCCCTGGCGCACAACCGGGACTTCACAATGACCTTGCCGTCCTTGCGTTTGTACTTTCGCACCCACACCGCATCTATCACTACGGTGTCCGAGGTCACACTCGAGAGGTGGACACGTTTGAAGCACTTCGTGTCCACAAATTGACCAACCTCCTTGGCATCTGCTGTCTCGACTTCGTTCCAGATCTTGTACACATCGGACTCAGGGATATTATCTGTGTCAGTATCCACTTTGAACGTTTCGCAACTGAGAAGGTCCACAAAGAAGGATTGGTGCACCTTGCCTGGCCAGACCACCAATGGCCTCTGCTCCCGTGTGGTAGCCGTTGTGAAAGAAGCCCGGGCGCAGCGCAGCAAGTGTGCATCCAGAAGGGATACTTGAGCGAGGTTGCAGAAGGAGGACAGCTGGTACTGGAAGCCAACGCGAAACTTGTGCTTACGTTCCATGAGCCATTGGTACTCCAAGAGATAGTGGTCCGGCTTCTCGGAGTCCATGTTGTAGATGGATTGCACCAACAGCTCACTGCGTTGCTTCTTGTTCTCAGGCCCCAAAGTCACCGCGCGCGTCTCCGGACCCTTCCGTTTCACATCCAGGGTGACGTCCTCCAGCTCCATTGGGTCTTCATCGTCAAGCTCAACTGGTCGCATACTCACTTCCGGCGTTTCCCGAACCTGTGGTCGCGGTTCCTCGTCATAGGACGGGTAGAAGAACAAATAGATGAAGCATAAGTCGTCCACAGGCACAGGTGCCAGATCACGTATCTTGATGATGCTGGATGACCAGTGCTCCTGGGAGGCATGCTGATCTGAGCCCATAGCCCAAAACAGAAGCACGCCAATGCTTGTAGGAGGAGGCCGGAAGTGTCGTACACCAACACCCATGGCTATGCCGCCAACTGGTCGATCACTGAGATGTCGTCCAACGGTCGTAGCCATGTCCATGATGTGCTTGTACTGATTGAACTCGGAGGAGGCACGGCGCCAGCTGATGGAACCATCCCGCTCATCACGGATCCATCCCACAGTGGAGACCTTGTATGGCCTCAGTGCTTCCGCGGCTTGCTTCAGTTCCACCACAGCTTCTTGAACTTCAGAGGGCCACACTGCAAAGGAGGTGTTCTCGTGAAGCCGAAGGTGCCTTAAACCCATGAGGTATGGACGCCCTTGGTATTGAACGATTGCAGTGCCCTCCTCGGCATTGATGCGAAGAAGTTCAGCGGGTCCACGCCATCCATCCCGATAGATGTCAACCTGCGTGGTGCCAGCAACCAGTTTGGAGAGGTCCAGCTGGTGCGTTCGAGTTCGGCCTGCTCGAGCCACACGGTCTTCGGCAATCGCCTGTTGCACACAAGACATAGCCAGTTGACGAACGCGTAGAGCTCGTTCAAATTGGCTGATGTCCGTCTGGAGCGCACCTGCATCCGACATGATGTTGTCCGCCGCGTGGTCGTAGAATGGCCGAGGTAGGACGCCGAAGACGGCCATGGCGGGGGTGACCCCCCCATAGTTGAGGGCGATGTTTTGCGACATCGCGGACTCCATGGCCAGCTCGTCTTCGTCGGCATACAAGCCCTGCCGGTTGAGCTCGCATGACAACTTGTTCATAGTGAGCTCGGTCAAAGCAACACGCCTTTCAGCTAAACCTGTCCCAGTATGTTGCTGGCCGGCCGCGCCTGACGTCGTGCCCTTCGGGCATCGCTCAACACTGAACCGCTCCAAGTCAGCGGATGCTTCATGACCCATGATGGATGCCTCTTGGTCCGCCACAAGTTGTCGAGGAGGACCAAAGTACATGAACCATGACCTGAGCAGCATGCGCGTAAGCTCTTTCCAGCCGCGATCAACAACTCTGGTAGCAATCTTGTAACGGGTCGCTTCGCAGACGATGAGCGCAATCCATTTGCCATTGAACTGGAAGAGGTCCATCTGGATGCGGTCGTTGAAGACGTTCGAGTTGGTGATCTTGACTTGAGGTCGGTTGGTCGGACGTACTTTCTACAGACAGCACATCCCTTCACAGCTTCAGCCACCAAATTGAGGACTGATGCAGGCATGCCGCATCTGGCCAGCATGTTTCGTAGATCGCCCAACGGGGCGTGGTAGAACCTCTCGTGGAGACCAAGGATCAATCGCTTTGCCGTAGTTGGGTCCGTGTCAGCGATCTTGAGAAGACGTTGGAAGACTTTACGGAAGTTGTAAAGAGGCTTGAGATTCTCGATAGGAGCTGCGTCGAAAGTCTCGACCGGGTTGCCGTCGTCGTCCTCCTTAACGTCCTCGTCATCCACGACCTTGTCCTTGGAAGCCGGAGGAGGGAGCTCTGACTTGTCTGCTCCAGGTTTCCGATGACTGTGCTTTGTAGGAGTCGCCGGTATCGGTGGTTCGTCCTCCGGAGGTGGATCAGGAGCTGCTGGAACTGCACCAACCTTGTCAGACCCAAATATTGTGATGAGCCAGTCGATCTCGTCAATCTTCTGCCTCTGCTGTGAGTGACTCATCTCCTGAAGGTCCTCCAGGTCATGTATCTTCCATTCCTTGACATTGCCGGAGATTTGTAGCCTGAGAGGCGCAGCCCTTGAAGACAGCTGAGGCTCTGGAACCATGCAGTGCCATGGACGGAGGGCGCACACGATACCCTTAACGATCATGTCCTTCTGGAAGATCTGAGTGACCATGGCCTTGTGTATCGGGTCAACAACCCAATGTCGGTAGTCTGCGCCTGTCTCGACAGCCTCCGTGAAGAGAGCCAAGCAGTCCTGGACCATCACCATCAGCGTGTACTTCAGGTAGAAGGACTGGTCCACGTTGAGCGATATCGTAGTGGGAGTTTCCAGCCTCACCTCAGTCATAGCCTTCTGTCGAGCTTGTCGCTTGAAGGCAGCAATTGGGTCTTCTGCTTGTTGTCGCAAACGTGGACCTTCTCCAGGAGGATGTCGCCCATAACGACATTGTCCAGGAATGAACGTGTGCTCCATCCACGGAAGAGCAGCTCGTCCCATGGTACAGCGCTCACACTCATAGCCGTGTGAGACCTTGAGAATGAGCTCCTGTGGCCATTTCTTGAAGGTCTGCTTCTTGCGCTGAACGAACTTCCACACGTCCTCGATGATGGCCCTGCACATTCTCATGGGATAGACAGCTGCCATGGCTGTACGGTTGATGCCACCAACACTGCCTTGAAGGACCGCGTGCTGTACTCCTCGATGTCCATTGCAGCGCTTGGCCGTTCTGTTCATCTTGACATTCGCCACCAGAGCCGTTGCCTTCTTGACCGGAGCGCCGTTGTCAGTGCATCCAGGCGCACATTGATGTACTTGTTGTAGTTTTCGCACTCCTTGTAGTCGAGAAAGACTTGCCATGGGGCTCATGGAATCCGTCAACATGGCGGAACCCAAGGGCTGCTCCAAGAGGAAGCCCAGGTCGTCAGAGATCTGCTCCTCGAAGACGTCCCGGACATATGACAATGTTGGAAGCTCCTGTCGTCGTTCTTCTTGTCGTACCACGTCATCTTTGGAGTTCGAAGAGACTGACCAGGGCCTGCATGTCGGAGCTGCGAACAGCAGGTCAGGATGAAATTCGGCCCGTGCAGCAGACAGCATCCGTTGATGTTCCGGAAGTCCAACATCCCATCCGTACCGGTAGTCGACGGGGAAGCCAACAATCATGCCTGAGAGGACGCCAAGAAGACTCAGCCTGCCAGAGCCTGAGAAGAGCTCCCAGAAGTGAAACCGAAGACCTCGACCGCATGACTTCTTGAACCATTGGTTGAAGTTCTTCGGAGTGATCGGCCGTCGGTTCGTCTTCGTGTAGAATTCCTCTGGCATTGCTTCGTAGCGCTTGGCCTGTGTCTTCTTCTCCGCGTCGCTCCAATGCTCCGGAAACGTGTCTGCCTCGTACTCCGGGAACTCGTCGTCGGCAAAGTTCAGGTCGCTAGCCTCGTTGGTGTCCACCACGTCGAGTGCTTTTGGCTTCGGCTGCTTTGCCTCCTTGAGGAAGAAGCGTGTCTCACCTGTCCACATGTAGCCAAGATCCCGATGAGGATGTGCCGATTTCTGCCAGGAGTCGTGCAAAGTCCTTGTGACTCCTTGGTGGTTGATGATTGTAACCCGCTTGGAAGCCAACTGCTCGGAGGTGATTGGGCAGTCAGCGGTGCATCCTGTGGTGAACATCATCCGACGTGGTACTCGATGGTGTCTCGTGAGAACGTTGCCGAAGATGGTCCACTCGTCGCTTTCCTGCTTGTAGTTGAGAGGGTCGTCCTGCGACTGCAAGTAGATGCCTTTGGTGACTGTTCGCTTGCCCATGACTGACGTGTCATGAGTGTCTGTCGGTCCCCTGGTGCTCTCGGTGCCTGACTTATTGCTGGTCTGAGGATCACGGGGAACTGGACAATCTTCTAATGGAAGTTCTGGAGGATCGCGAGGAACTGGACAATCTTCTGATGGAAGTTGTGGAGGATCGCGAGGAACTGGACAATCTTCTGATGGAAGTTCTGGAGGATCGCGAGGAACTGGACAATCTTCTGAGGGAAGTTCTGGAGGATCACGATGAACAACTCCACTCCGCTTAAGCTCTGCGTCCCCAATGTCTCGAGGCATCTGAAAGAAGCAATGCTTCACGTCCTTCCATTGCTTCTGGCTTTCTTCCACGATGCGGTGCATGAAGGCTCCGGCCTTCTTTCCTGCCTCTTTGGACACCGCATTCTTCTCGTTGTCGACCGGAAGAAGGTAGTGGCCTGAGTCCGTAAGGAGAATGCGAAACGTGAGCCATTCTCGAGGAGCGCCCTTCACCTTGACCCCGGCTGAGTGGCAGGCCAAGAGTCCATCTCCATTGTCGAAGAAGTCGGTGAAGATGACGCTGCTCATCTTCCGCAAAGCTGGGTTCGAAAGCAAAGCTGGACAAAGTGAGCCGTCGCCTCCAATGACTGATCCAGTGAAGGAACCTTTGCTGTGCTCGGCAAAGGAGACGGGAATCGTGACTTCGCCCAGGGTCTCGTCCTTGCTTCCTGAAATGCCTGAGAGCTCTCCTGGGTCAGGCATGTCTCCACGATGTCCCGAAGCGTCTCACTGCCGATCAGTCCGCTGGAGGCACCTGGGTCCACAAGAAGACCACGTCGCTGGTTGCCGGCGATCATGTGGAAATGCTCTCGATCGCTGTAGAGCGCCATGGGAAAATGAAGATTCTTCACGGTCGCCTTGTCATTCTCACCCGTGTGCTCGTCCACGTGGTCGTCCTCGTTCTTGTCGCGAACGTTGTTTTTGGCCGCACCGAGCAAGAACTCTGAAGCGTCGCCCTCGGCCATGTTGTAGGTCCTGGTAGTCGAAGCTTTCACCGGTGAAGTTCGCAAGGGCCACGACGCAAAGGTGTCCGTGCCGAAGTGCGCGGAAAGGGTCTTGCCGTAGAGGTGGTAGCCGTCGTCCGGGTACTCGGCGTAGTAGCGTTTGCCCTTCTTGCCTTTTCCTTTACCTTTGCCTTTACTCTTGCCCTTGCTATACTCCCGGAAATCCCGAAAACCATATGGACGCTTGCCGTAGCCCTTATTCTTGCCGGAGCTCTTTTGTCCAAAGCTCTTGCCCTTGCGCTTGCCCTTTCCATGGCCGCTGTCCGACGAGGATCTGGATGGATTGCTGTTGACTGGGCACGAGGAAGCAGAATGCCATTTGCTCCCACAAATGGAGCATCCAACGCCCATGGCATTGCCTCGGACCGGGTAGCTTCCGTAGTCCTCGTCGTCTTCGTCGTCCGGCGAGAACCACTCTTCTCCGTGGTCGTCGTAGTAGCTGTTGTCGTAGCCGTCCTCGTAGTCCTCGTAGCCGTACCAATCGTCGTCAAACCAGCCGGTCTCGTAGTCGCTGTTGTAGCTCCAATCGTTGCGCCACGAGTCGCCGTACCAAGACTCGTTGTCCGCCGCCGTCTCGTCCTGGTGGTAGGAGTCGTGTTCAAGATGCTTGCTGCTGAGCCTGAGTGCCAAGGTTCTTGCTTCTTGATATCTTCGAAGGTCTCCTTGTACTTGCATCTTGACGTCTTCCACGAACTTGGACGGCAGGCCGGAGTTCTTGAAGAAGAGGTAGAAGTGAGCCACGTCGTTCATCTCGAGCCCGGCTTTCTCGGAAGCTTCTTGCATTCTTTGGTCGAACTCGACGGAGTACTCCTGAAGTGACATCTTGCCACGCCTGAAGTCGAAGAGGTGGTCCAGTGCTCGGCTAGCCATTTCCTGTTCTGAAAATCCGAAGGTTTCTCTCAACTTGTTGCACAGTGCCTGGACCCCGGATGGTATATGTGCTTGGAGGATAATGGCTGGATTTGCCGGGTCCCTCACCTCGTCGACTGAGAGACGGACCAAAGCGTCAGAGCCGGTGTCCACTTGCCCGTCGGGGCGGGGAAGCCGAAGTGTCATAGCCAAGGTTTGTGCCTTGCCCTGCAACCTTCCAGCCACAAGCGGACCCACGGTCTCATCCGCCCCATCGTACACGCGGTACCACATCTTCAGTTTGTCGAAGTAGGTCTTAAGGCTGTAGTCTGGGATGCCAGGTCCCCAGCCAGGAGGTACATCTCTTCGATATTCATGAAGCGGGATGCCCGTCGATGGTGCCGCCATCTCGTCCACGTAGAGCGCGCAGTCGCCGTAGAAGAAGTACTGCATGGGGCTCCGCGGTGACGTCGGAAGTCTCGCCGTCGAGGGTCTCCTGGATCGCCAGGTGCTCGCTGCTCGCCACAGGGCTTGTCGAATTGCAAACAAGGCCGACGCCGAAGAACTCCTTGTTGGAGAAGTCCACGCCGTCCTTGCCAGGTGATACAAAGAGGAGCGGCTCGAAAAGCAGTGCCAAAGCAGTTGCCCAAAGAGCCGCCAAAATCGCCTTGGAAAGAGAGGATCTCGTAGAGGTCGTCGCGGTGTCCGGCTGGCCAAAACCAGCGGTCTGCCAAAGCAGACTGTCGTAGCCCTTTCCAAGCGAAGCCGCTATGGCTGGCAGCTGGAGCCCTATCGGCTCCGCTACCAAACTTGGATGCAAACAGGGGCGCCTTTTCAATTGAGCCCAAGCGCGCTGCAGCGTGCCAGTACCTGTCAAAGTTGCACTCAGGTGCTACAGAAAAACTTCACTCTCTAAAAGTCCACTCCCGTGCGATCTCACGCATAAACGTAAGACGTAAGCTAGCTTCTGTGAATTTGCATCATTATCAGAATGACAAATACAACTGACTGAAATCTCTCTCTTACACTTCAACGCATGCGACAAGCAACATCAAACATGTCTATGGTGAAGCACCAGAGACATGACGGACACCATCACAACACCCCTCGAAGAGGCATCCATCCAAATCCGACGAACGGTGAGTTGAAGGCAAGCTTCCCCATAATTACTCACGCGGGATTGGCACGAAGTCACGCCAGCGGCGCAAAGCTACGCTGGCAACTATGAAACCCGTGAACACGTGCCTTCCAGAACAGGCTTTGCAACAACGAAAAAACGGTGCGTGGCATGTGACTGACTCTTGGCGAGACGCACCACAAAAACACCTTACCTCATACTGTTTTCATGCGAATCACCAGGTTCACGCCATATGTCCGAGCATTACGTTAAGCTGCGCCACGAACGAGGAAACGCCGTGTTTGCGCGTGCTTTCCAAAGCAGCATTTGCATCAACTGAAAATTGCGTGAATCATCAGGGACTCCCGCATTTTGAGACATGTAAGTCAAACCATGAACTATGAAACGCCATGTGCGCGCGCTTTCCAAAGCAGGTTTTCCAACAACCCAAAACGCCGCGCGGCATCTGACTTGTAGGTAGGTGGACCAGAAAACCATCTCCCGTCAAGTTCAGACAGCGACGCATCCCCTATCCTGTATACCAAAAAAAAGAGGGATGGCCATTTTTGCCTTTCGTCCTCAGAAACGGTTTCCACCAAAACACTTTCTGTGAATCCTTGACGAGGCACACGAAGGCTAATACGTTTAACCTTGAATTCGAAGATACGCAGCTGAAGTACACATTATCATCGCTCCAGAAACCTAGCTTGAAAGATGAAGCACATGCGTAGCACGGACCTATTCTACGACAATCTTGCGTGACAAAATGGCACAACAGAGACACACAACACACACATGAAAAGACACATACACACACATAGAAACAAACATCGCAAATTGCAGAAAATACATAAAAACAACGAAAAGAAACACAGAACAACCACAGAAAACAAAAAACTTATCCACCCTGGCTTGCCACATGCAGAACGGCCCACAGAAAACAAACACAGGAACATCACACAGAAATGATTGTTTTCAACATCCTGCATGGGTTGCATCATTTCTGTCCGTAAAGATATACATATATATATATATATGCAGGAATATCATGTTTGACCCGCTGAGGTTTTGGTTGCCCCTGTCGAGGCCTCTCCTGTGCCAAGTTCAGAACCCAACGAATCCTCTGATGGAATATCTGCTCCTCGGATGTCTGGTGACACTGCTCCCTCTCATCTGTTTTGGGCTCACCCTCATTTGCTCTCATAAGTTCATCATCATGGTCATCAAGGTTGATCACCACCGGACGGGAAAACTCAGCAGCCAAAGCAGACATCACCAGAGAAGGACTCTAGACAGACTGGGGTGCTAGGGTTGGGCCTGAACCCTTGGGACCTTTTCCCTGCTTGAGCCTTGAGCCAAAATGCCTCGAGCCATTTCAATCTTGGGTTTAGACACGCGCATCGCATAAACCCAAGATTAGGGTTTAAGGTTTTATGGGTTTAGGGTTTTTATGGGTTTAATTTTTTTGGGGGGGTTCAGGGTAGTGAATGCAAACACTGCCCTTTCGGAACCAATAAAACTGTTGGACCGAGAGCACATGGCCGCGCCGGCGTGCACCTTGCACAGAAACTCGCGTGCACCTTCGACGCAAGCCACGCGTGCACCTCAGACATGGCGCCCGTGGGAAAGGACTCCGTCCCAATCCTAGAGAACTACAGGGAATACTGTCCCAGGCTCTTTGCGCAGTAAAGAGTTGCGGGACTCTGCAGCATGCGCGCGCAAGAAAGGTTGGAGAGGACTCAGAGTGGAGGAGATTTTCCTCCACTCTTCCCATGGAAGCATTAGAGAACACATTCCTGCATTGTCTTGCATTCTGCTGGCCCCCTTCCACAGAGAGTGGGAGGGACTCTTCTCCATTCCTTGCAGAGAAAAAGTGGGGGAGGGGTCCTTGGCTCTTTCTAACAGCCTGGAGGACTTTCCTCGATTCTTTTCGAAAAGACACTGGGCTGCCATGATGTTGGCTCCTGCCACCTGAAGCTTCTTCCATAGACGAAATGGGCAGGACTTTCCTTCGCGCCTTGTAGATGAAGAGTGGGGGGGACTCTCTTGGGAACGGAAAAGGTTCTGTCCGCAGAAAACCTGGGGAGGATTGTCGTCCGATCTGCCCAACCAAAAGTTGGGGATTCTCCTTGGCTCCTGGCAGCCAGAGCAGGGAGAACTCCCCTGAACTTGGTCCAAAGAGACAGCGGGCTCCTTAAACATAGATGGTGTTGAAGTTTTCCTCCATTCCCTCCAGAGAAAGAGTGGGCCCCTGGTTCTCGAGGCTGGAAAAGAGGCCCGTTCCTTTTTTCCTTCAAGAAATCGCCCTGAAGGAAATTGACACTCCGATCAAATTGGAAAATTACTGGTAAATGGTCTCCATAAAATATTCTCACAAAGTCCGTTAACCTTCCGGCAGACCACCTTTTCATTCAAGCATGCTCCCTGGCCATACAATACCTGCCACTATCAATGCAAACCCCTCCGCACCACCTGTTCTGCCTACACATATTGTACCTCTAAGAGGGCTTTATAGGCGGAGGGTTACATCTAATGGGTGGCCTTAAATTAGATATTGGATCAGGAAGAAAACTGGAGATGAGCGTCTACCACTTGCGTAAATTAGGAATCGTGCTAATAGATGGCCGTCCTCTATTTAGTATGTGGGACTTGTAGAGGTGAGCTAGGATTCGCGGTAGTAGGTGGCTGTCCTTTACATGAGTGACCCCTCCGAGGGGGAAAAATGCGGGCTCCAAAGACCCATCTTGTCTTTTGCCCCCTCCCCAGGGATCGCTCATGTAAAGGGCACCCACTTATTAACGCGCATCCTAGCTCAGCTCTACATGCCTTACATGCTGCTTACTCCTGTTCCTACTCCTTCCTCCTACTAGCTACTCTGTGCGCATAGCAATATACTATAGAAACACATCCCATTCACAAAGAAAGCTTTGCCGCGGAAAAGACCATTCCAAAAACCCTCAAGAATCCTGCCTCTGCAAAAATGGGGGCCCCGCAGTGTACCTTTGTGCTTTATCATGTATAAAGGGTATTCGAAAGGGGATAGCAAACCCCTCACTTCATGTTGTTTTTCATGCGACATTTTTAGGCATCATGCCAAGTCGCACTAAGAACGGGGAAGCGCCATGTACAAGCACTTTCCAATGCAGGTTTTGCATCATCTGCAGACGGCGCGAATGACAAGGGGAGCGCCGCATTGGGAGGCATCAAGCTAAGCCACGTCAGGAACCATGTATGTGCAGTTTGCAAAGCCAGGCTTCCAACAATTATCATGTTGGTCCATGCCATGGCGCTGCGCAAGCAGGTCGACGAACGCGCAAGCAACGCAGGAGTGCCCATACTCACCTTGCGATCGTTAACATGATTTGAGGCATCCCAGGTGCATCGTGGTTTTGGCGTCACAGCTGCGAAGCCCAGTCCCGAGTTGACCGGTGTGAGACTGCTGCCCAACAGCAGCATTTGGCAGCTCCAGTGAAAATTGCTCAGTGAGTCGCTCTTGTTCTGCTCCCCGCGGCTGACGGCAAACTCTGGCCTTCGGCTCCTCTGTCTGCCTGGGGCTTTTGCATCTGGCGAGATGCACCCCATAATAGACGGCAAGCCGGTGTTAGTCTTAGTCTGCCAAACAGGTCAGAGTGATTGCATATCATCGCCACGGGCCTGTGAGAGCACAAGTCCGCTGAGGAAAAACAGTGTGTCTAATCTCCGCATGCGGGCTTCATGCCGCTGCAGGTAAAGGCCAGCAACAGCATCTTCACTTGCACCACAATTCCGTACTTGCAGCATGAGACTGCTGAAATACAGTTGGGTTGGTCTAGCAATGTTTAGGCAAACAGCTGCTGCTTCAGGCATCTCTCTGCCGCCTGATCAGGCTCAGTTCTAATTGTTATCCTGGTGGTGGAAGGGGACCTCGTGGAACAGCTGCCGAACCTTGCATACGCAACATGAAAGGCATTGCAGGACATGGGCAAGCTCAATACGGCCCCTTTTGCCAACAGATCGTTGCTCCTATCAGTAGACGGGCGTTGCTGTAGCTCCGAAGAGCATGAGGCATCTCTGGCGCGATTTGCCAGATTATCATTATGCTATCGTCTGAGGATGTCTGAGGTCTAGATCGATGGTGGCTGCCCTGCGCCTCGCCTTGCCGCTGGCCCAGGTCGCACCGCCTAAGGCGGCGCCCGTGGCCAGGAGTGGCCAGGATACAGTTCCCACGATGCCTGCGGCGGGAGCATTCTCAACTCAAACTCCTGAAGTGATCATAAACATAAACATTTCAGGTGCTTCTGAGCCAGCACAAGTTCAAAAGCGGGAGATTGCACTCAGCATGACACACATCCGCAAGTGGAGATCGGAGGATGCAATAGTATTCAATGGCTTTTGCGCCTGCCGATGTGCACGCTAAGGCCTCGCCCAAAGCTCAGCTATGCACAGCTAAGGGCCAAGACTACTCCATGCTCATGCGGGTTTATGCTCGGAACAGCTCTCCCAAATTGACAAGCCATGAGAAGCCCGCGGACTGATTTGAGGCGCATGGGCATGGAACGCACCAGGGGCTGCGCAGAGTACTTGAACACCTTGTTAAGCCTCTCGGTCCACCTGCAGCGCGTCTAGGATCCATGTCTGATGATCACTTCTTCATTAAAAGCCCCTTGCCTCAGACACGTGCAACTCCAAACACTAGTCACTAGTAGTACCAGCAGTATTCACACACCTCTCCCGTGACAGGACCAGAGCGCTTGGGCAGCATGCATGTATGCAGCATCAAACCCTACAATCTGCCAGTTGCAGGGCTAAGTCCGCTGACCTCAGGGCTTTCTGACAAGTCGTGCACTGGCTGGTGTGTGTCCTGAGGCACTGTAGTTCCAATATCCGCCGGCATCTAGTCAAAGTCTGCAGGGAAAACCATGCAGTCGCATTCACCGCCCAGATTGGCATAGTGATACAATCATGGTCCAAGCTGGTCGTCTTTACATCTTTTTGAGTCACTAAGTCACTCGCTTGTAGGTGTCGAAGAGTAGTTGCTTGTCGGGCATGGCCTTGCCGAGGCCGCACTTGAGGACAAGACGTGTTAGAGGTTCTCCTGAAGATGTAAGTTGAGCATTGGCTCTCTGGCTCTTTCAGGCCCCTGCTGCTAGGTCTGTGTCCACGCCAGGGCTCCATGCCTCAGCAAAGCAAGAGTGCAGTGGGGGACTTCTGCACACCGCCAACTTAAGTTCAAGTGCTGCTGTCCTGTTTTATCAGGAAATGTGCTTGGGGCTGGACGATGCCACCATTCCTTAGCTGCGGGAAACTGCAGTCCAGCTCTAGGTGAGTTCTGGCATGGTTCCATGTATGTCGATGTGAAATAACCAAGCCGTGACAGGATCCAACTCCTGCTGCAACCTTCTGGCGAAGGCTCTTGTCAAGCCATCGCCTCAAAGCTATGGTGCCCTTGTCAGCCTCGGTCGGCATCCAGTAGGACCTAGGCTGCGGACTGCGCACTGATCCCACAGCAGCAGTGGCTGGAACTATGTTCCCTTGATCCTGGGGCCTGGGAGGGCCAAAAGCTGGGTCCAGCGCTGCAACCAGTCCTTGCCATGCCTTGGCAGCGCAGACACAGGGAAGGATCCAGCAACACGTTGGCGCATCCCTGGACTGTTTCAGCATCCACTTGTTGCTGAAGGCCCTCACAACACCTGCACATATTGTTTGAGGCTTTCTCGGCGAATTTGTATTAACGCCAACGTCGAGAGAAAGAGGTACTGCGGACACAAACTAGAGCTTCTAGCCTGCTCACAACAGACAAAGAAAGCAAGCATGGGCGGAGTTCTTTCAAACGTGTGACTGGGCAGACTTTTTTGAAGGCTTGGCGAAGCTTTTTCGCCCAAGCGCGGCCCCAAAAGCGATGACAATTAGGCACTTTGCGAGGATCACACACGAGATTGTGGGGAGAGCAACATCGTAACCCCAGATTGCCAGAACGCTTCACGTGGGAGCGCCTACCAAAGCTTGTCTCCAAAGGGCGCAGTGGACTGACAACGACAGTTGTGAGCAACAGTCGTACCGAAAGCAACCACGGTTCTTCACTTTCCACAAAGCAACCACAGGTTTGCCCTTCGCATCGAGCACTCGCCGGGATTGCGTAGCGTCTTTGCATGTCTTTGCCAACACGATGCGGGGAGGATAGCTTGTGCGGCCTTCAAACAGCACGCTAGGGCTGGTTGGGGGGCCACAGCCCCCCCGCCACCCATGATGATCGCATGACATGCAGCTCAGACGTGACCTGACGTGTTTCTTGCCATCATTTTGCAAAAGCACTCGTGCTGGCAAATCACTTCAAACAAGGTGATGGGACGATACCCTTTTCAGGTAGCCTTGCACCGATTTGGGTTTGGGGAGGCGTGTCCCCGACCCCACATGTGCAAACATGTTGGTCACATGTTGTGTTGCTCGGACATGCTCGGACGAATCTCTTGAAAAAGCCTCTTGCCGGCAACGGGTTTAAACATGCTGAAGAGACGCTTTAATCTAACAAATAAGGTGATGGGACGAAGATACGCTTGCACAAGCATATGCCCCCCCATCAAGGAACTGGGGGACCATGCGGACCTAGACAAATTTATTATCAATTGACTATCAATTGTCCACGAGACAGCCTTGCGGCTCGCTAACAGTGTCCCTGATGTGTACCCATCATCTTATACATATCTTCGAACGCATGAGAAAGCATGGCGATGTGTAAGTCCGCGTCTTTGGCATTGGCGCAACCAAGACATCTGGGTGCAACGTGCATCGAATTTTGATCCAGAAGAGTGTAGGTCCTAGCAACCAGTTGCCACAAGCATCCACAAGCCAGCAAGTAAGTCTACGTAGCTGGTTTCGCTGAAGATGAGACCTGCCTCTGCGCGTTCTGGCTGCTAGTGTGGCAGCTTTTGCGGTGCGTAGGGTTTCGCACGCACCTCTTTTGAAGTTGGACATGCCGGGCGTCAAGTACGCCATCATGTGCCGGGAGCCCGCGTGTTACCCAGCGTCAGGCCTTGTGTTCCCGTTACCTTGACAAACAACTGGTCACTAACGTAAAGCTGGAATACATGGGCGTCTTCCTGCGCTAGCTGGGCATTGGAGAGCGAACGCTCTTGCTAGCAATCAGGTCACCAGCCTACTGAAGACCAAGCGGCCTCAAAAGGTTTACACTGAAATGTAACCCGCCTAACCATACCTGTGAAGGTGCGTCACTTCTGCCAAGGGTGAACATCTGGTATTGTCCCCACATCCTTCCTCTTGGCTCAGCGAATGTCGGCTTTACAAGCCCAAGTTCATTGCAAATACCCCAAGGTGCTACTTGCCTAGATGGCCATCTGTGACCCTTGGCACGCGCAAACCCCCGGCAATGCTTACTGGACCGTGCACCAACACTGCGAGAGGTATCGCCGCATCGAATTATGGCATGCTTCTCGGCATAGCCTTCACACTTCTAAGCACAACTGACCCTTCATACAAACTGTTTTCAGACCCATTTCGCTCTGGGGTCTTGCTCTGGTGTCATAACATACTGCGGAGGGCGGAGCCTGTCTTGTAAGCACTTTGCGTTTTCGGATAAGAGAGCTCGTTCCAAGCAACACAACAGGCGTACGAAGCTGACTTGTTATCTTATTAGCGCAAATGTGCTATTGTGATGATGACCTGACCGCTGTCAACAGCTGTCGGCTATGAGTTCAAGCACTCAGCTCCTTGGAGGAGACCCGCTCTCCTCTGGTAAGTTCATCCGACAACAGGGCAACGATGCCTGAAGTTGCCTTTCGCTGGCGCAAGCGCGCGGGAACATGAAGCAAAGAAGTCTTGATTAAACAACAGCTGGACGTTTTTGTGTTTCCAAGCAGAAGAGACCGAAAGGGCCATTCTTTATTTCTGATCATGCAACATTCTCCTCGCCTCACCTATGAGAAACTCTGCTGGTTGGCTTTCTGCTTTGCCCCAGCCCAGCCCAACAACATTTGAACACCTGGGAAACTGTTGTGAGATGCTCTTGTCTCATTTCATCAGGGCTGGCTTCAGCAGAATTAAACATCAACTGCAGCCAGCGCAAACAATCATTGCCGAGGAAAAGCCACCACAGGCGTTCCTATGTACACATCTGGCTCCTGCAGGGCCGGCAGTCAATGTGTATGCAGAAAGGTCCCCGCTGCATGGCCGCCGGAAGATCAATCCGTTAAGCGTAGTCACGTAGTCTTAACTTCACCAACAAAATCTGCTCAGCTTGAATGTTAAAGCGAGAAGCTATCGATAGACACGAGCAGCAGGACTGACTACTGCGATCGCCATTACAGACCCAAAGCTCCTGCAAAGGTCGCGTAAACGCTGCAGGTGAGATGTTCCGCATGCGAGAAGGCGGAGATGGCGGCTTCCTCACGGGCGGCTGAGCTTGAAACTTCCCGCCTGCAGACTTCTGAAAAATGTAATGGTGCTTCAGCTGCACAACCTGGTCGACCAACCGACCGGACTGTACGAATTAACGCCTGAAGAATTCTTGTCCAGTATTGTGGTAATTGATGATGACTGAGGGCTTCTGCGAGTGCTTTTCTGCCCGACTTGTAAGTGACCGAGTGCTGAGGAGCTTGTGAAAATGCCTTGAAGACGCTTTTGTTTCGCTTTGAAGGCTGCATATTTTTGCCCTAGGATTCTGCCGTAGACTCCTTAGCAAGAAGACTTTGAGGCGAGCCGGCTCACACATTCGGTACATTGCCTTTCTTTCCGGAGCTTAGCGGTTTCATTCTGAACCCTGTCTCGAGCACACTTGAGTGCTGTTCCTGTTCTGCGAAAGAGTAATTTTCAAAAACAAAACGGGCGTTCAATATGAGCTTTCTTTTTATCAATCTCTTGGCAATTGCAACTGTTCGAGCCACTGTAACTGATATCTGGATGACGAGTTGCCAAAACCAAAGTCACTGACATGATTTCTACATTTCAATAGCTACTCGCAGCTATGGAAGCTAATGAGCACCTTCCAAAAGCACCAGGATAACAGCTGAGCCGTCAAGATGCAAACCACGAAACACAAATTATATGCAGCATATGCAGCAGCTTCGCACAATCCGTGTTGCAAGAGCAAGTACGTCTTCCAGAAAGGGCATTGGTCAGCCAAGCTTCACCGCAAAGGTCATCTCCTCCAGGAGTTTCAGCTTCAATCTGACTAGCTCAGTGTGGCTTGCTCAGCTTTGGAGAGGTCGCCGCGTGGCATGTCTGACATGGATGCTGGGTGACCTACTGCCTCACGCTGCTTGAGTGTGGTGTACATATTGAGCACATCATGCACATCTCATTATTCCGTGCTTTGACCGCGTGCACTGCATGTTATGCACGAGCTGGATGCCAGCCAAAGCACTGCAAAGCCCCATAGTGAAGTGAGCAACCCCTACCCTCTCGTAAACAAAGCCTTACTGAAACAACATGAAACAACAGTGATCTCATAAAAATCGACTCCCACTTGCAAAGCGAAGTTGAGACGGTCGTGCGGTCCCGGCTTGGAAAGATGGGGCTTCCAGGCACGGGCGTTCTGTTCACGGCACGACACCTTCAACAAAGAAGTGTCACATGTCCCGCAAAATTTCAACAGTGTCTGTGGGCCAGAACTAAGAGTTCTCCAACCCCCGTACAGTTTGACTTGACGTGTGTCTGCCCCAGGCACGAAATCTGCGGAGACCACATCATGCGAGATGTCGTTGTCTGCGGTGCAGGCGCCTGAATGGTAGAGCAGAACCATGCAGAACCTGTCTCAGCTGCCATCACTGGACTCTCCCTTGAAACTGTGTCGGCTATTTACCTCCTCAAATCCCGGTCGTTCAGTTCAACCTCTGCAACCATTTGCCGTTGCATCCCACTGCACATGGCTGAAGTATCCCACAGGTCCCTACAAGTAATTCAGGAGAGTTGCCGTTGCAAGTGGAATGCGGGATGGATCCACGAATATACTCTTGGCCTGGCATGAGCATCAGTCTGACCGGTCTTGGCACTGTGCCTGCAAGTTCCTGACATTAATGCTCTGATATTTGATGTTTGGCGCTTGCTTTCGTCTGCGCAGCAGCCCTGAACGCCTGAAAGGAATCACGCATGTCACGCCAGTACCACCTTGAGGCGCAAAAGAGTTTGCTCCGGCCTAGGGATGATCGGACAGCATTTTGCTTTTGGGGACTGTAAAGCCACCGAACTTGCTAGCCTGGAGTCATAACGTGACGGTGGCAGCTTGAAACTTGAAAACTGAAATATGCACTTCGCGTGGCCTACTTCGCGCACATGGTGAGACAGCAAATTTCCATCGCATCATATCGCATCCCAAATTGCTATTACGAATGATCCTTGCGTCTCTTCGCGTCTCCACGCTCCTCCTCACATCTCTCACATCTCTCGCATCTCTCGCATCTCTCGCATCTCCTCGCGTCTCCTCGCGTCTCCTTCTTCTTCTCAATGCTGTACCCCCCTTGAAGGGAAGGGCCGGGGCATTGCCCGAAGCAGGAACCGCCCCAGCGAGCACGAACTGTGGCAGGTCCCGGCTATTGAACGTACTCCCGGACACGAAGACCATGAGACACAAATTACAGCAGCCC